CATGTCGTCGGCTAAGAAAAACGTGTGCATGAGTGTCTGGGTGTTGGTTTTCCACCAACAGCTGAGGAATAACAAACATTATTATATAAAAAATAATTATACAAAAATGATACAAATTAATTGATCAAATGGCAAATATGAGTTCAGAAAATGCTGCCATGTTTCCTGCAGACACTCTTAAAAATAAATGTTTCAAAAGGGATGATTCCACAGAAGAACCATTTTTCTCCTTTCATAGGACAGTTCTTAAAAGAACTTTTTTTGTCTTAGTGTGAAGAGAATTTTAATTATTTAAAGAGCCTTTTTTAACTATAAAGAATCTTTTGTGAAATTCAAATGTTCCATGGATATTAAAGGTTACTCATAGAACCATCAATGCCAGAAAAGAACCTTTATTTTTAAGAGTGTATTTTTAAACATAAATTAAGAATGATTTAAAAATAAAGGTTCTTTATTGGCATTGATGGTTCCATGAACATCCTTTAACATCCAAAATAACTTTTTCTTTCTGCAAAAGGTTCTTTACAGTGGAAAATGTTTCTTCAGATTATTAAAATGTTCTTCACACTAAGGAAAAAATGGTTCTTTTAAGAGCTGTTTACTTTATGGTTCTTTGGGGAATGCAACATGCTTCTACTATGGTATCAATGCAAAAAAAAAAAAACTTTTGGAACCTTTATTTTTAAGAGTGTATATTTATATAGTTTGCAAATGAAAGTTTGGTTTAAATGTAAAGCAATTTTTTTTTCATTCATATGCAATATAATGTGCATGTTACATTTCAATCCAAAATTTGCTGAGTGTGCATGTATTTGAACCCAGTTTTCGTCTCTCGCTTTCTCTGCATTACATCCTATACCAGCAGTAAAAGGAGGCCACAAGCACGCTCTAGTCATAGCAAGACTGGAAAAACATAGGAACGTGAGCTAGTTTTGGAGCCTCAGGCTTAGGTGCGTGGCTCTGAGAACACTCTGAGAAATCATTGAGTTCCACTTGAATGAAATTAGACAACATCAGCACTTACAGAGGCAGGCTGAAACAGTACAACATATCTCTCACTTTCCTTTTCACTTCCTTAAAACATTCACACGGACAGATGCATTATTGCATTTTCACTATGCTGTCTCATCTACCTTCGACTCAACATGCTCTCTTGGCAGGGTTTAATACTTTGGCCAGGGTTAAAGTGGACTTAGGTGTACAATACTGCTGTGTTAGCTTCAAGCCTGAAGTCTGAGAAACCCACTCAGGTGTAAAGAATAGGAAAATGGCCTGTCTCCATTGATTAGACCTTCTAGAGGAAATGAGTGCTCACATTCAACAGCACATCCACAGGGACAGTGAAACATTCCAGGTCTGACGAGGCTGATTGATATCATTAGACTCTGCAACTGCAGATATTTATTTGTTTTGCAAGTAAACAATTAACGAAGCATTTATTTTTGTAAAGGAATGTTAGTTTTATAATGAAATAACCAATGAGAAACAGAAAAATCTCGAGCAGACGTTAGATAACAAATTGGCAGTACAGTGAGGTGCATTACTTTAGTTTAACAGGCACAGGGAGTGAATCAGTGGTCAATAAATACTATGCTGACCACAAGTCCCATGCATCAATGCTGTTCTCTATCGTTTTCTGATTGAATTATCTGATTTTCTCGTTTACTTTCTCGTTTATTGCCACGTTACATAGAGTCTGATGCTAGTGTTTAAGGGATCTGTCAATAAACCTTAATCAGAGGAGATGCCATATTTAATTTGACAAACAAAAATAATGAGGTTTTGAAGGCATTAAATCACATCTAATTTTCAGAACCCAAATGTTTTTGTCCACTAGAATGATGGAAATACGTAGGTGAAAGATAAATACCAAACACTACAACCACAGCCTCACAGCCTTGTTTTTATTTTGTATCAAATGGACCATTTTCACATAGGTTTCTCAGAAGCAGAAGTCATCATAGTTGGATGAAATTGCTACATTAGCAAGAGAAAAAATCCAGTGTTTCTATGAGGTTCCAATGATGGTCAAGAGTAAAAGAGTCAAAATTGCCATCACTCTCTCAGATTTTGTATTAGAAACACTTACACAGCCGCGTTAACTCATTTTATAATGTGATTTAATGCCAAGGTACGAAAACATAAATGTACAATAAAATTATATATATATATATATATATATATATATAAAACATTGCTAGATTTACATCACAGTCTGCAAAAAGGGTCCATTGTATCATGAATAAGGTGCATTCTAAACTCAAAGTAAATAAAATATATACATGATTCATATAAATTGAAGGAAAATTCCCTTCAAAGTTTTAACTAGAAAAGCTTTGTTGCTCTGTGAGCAACATGCCTCGTGAAGTGGATGCTCAGTGCGAGAACAAAACTGTCATTGTACTCCTGCACAGTGTGTCTTGTTGCATTGCGCTTGGTGTGTGTGTCTATGTGTGTTATTGTTCATCCTCTTGCGCTGTGACTCTCCTCTCTGCTGCCAGGCCAAAGCAGAAGTTCTCACATGGCCAAAGCCCTTAGTCACATGGCCTGGGCATGTGCCACATAGCGCTAGCAGTCACTAAAGCTTCTCCCCTTTAACATAGATAAAGGACAGTTTAAAAAAGAACAGGAGAGAGACGGAGACCTGAGGCCAAGAGCTTGAAGATTTTAATTGAAACCGAGAACCTGAAAAAGGACTGCAGGGGAATCGATGTGAGAAACTGAGGAAGGTCAAAAGAGCAGAGAGAGAGAGAGAGCGAGAGAGAGGCAGAGCTGCTGAATTGCATGGTCATCTTCCCAGCTGTCCCTGAACATACATTGACATCGGCTTAGCTGTGAGCCACACATCAGGAAAGTCAGAAAGGGAGGGAGAGGGAACACGGTGTGTGTATACGTGTGTGTTTTGTTAGTGTAACAGTGCAGGAACAAGAGGGAGGGGTCCTTTCCCAGCTTTTGCAGTGTATGCACATGGTTTATGACACTGCAGTAAGCGCAGCTCAATCCCTCTCCTAACACTGCGCACCGTTCACCCGTCATGGGCCTAAAATGTTTCAGCGATCTGCTGGGGTCAAATGGGAGCTTTAGAAATTGGGTTGAAGAGCTTCTGAATGCAGTCAGGCTTCTGATTTACTATAAAGTCTTACTTTCTTCAACAAAGCACGGCTCATTTTTGCTGTTCAAAGAGTTGCATTTTAAGGAATTTAATAAACATTCTTGATTGGTGAAATCATGCCTTTCACATCTTTAACCTTGAGGGCTACTGCATAATACAGCGTGCTATTCTCTGCAGCCTACATTTCAAACAGCAGTGTCAGTCATTCTGTTGCCATGGAGAGATATTAATTGCTTTATTTCAAAAACATTCATGCTGGCAAGCACTGAGATATGCAACATTACAGTAGCAGCTGAAGGAAGTGTAAATTAGTCATTTTTGTGGCACCTTAAGCTTGCAAATGTTTTGAATTCTCGTCAAAGCTAAAATTGAGGTCACATTGTTTTCTTCAATCCTTGAACAGCATGTGAAATAATGCAAAACTGATTGCATCACCTGGGGTGATGTCTAGCACGCAACTACAGCGCAGATGTGTCTGACGGAACAACATTGTGAAGATAGCTGTCTTTTAATCCTCTGAACAGCACTTGTCCTTCTGCAAGATGACCTTGCGCGTGGTATCTTGTGACAGACCCACAGACAAACTGATGAAAGGAAAGACCACAAATGGTTATTCAGGTCCCGGCTCTGCCTGGTTTCTGGGAAACAGAAAGTGAGTGATGTCAATGATGGATGCATTTTAAACACAGCTGATTCATGGGTGTCTGTTTATGGCTGCTTTGATTTGCATCTTTAAATACATGGCATGAAAGCCTTGCATGCAAGAGCAATTATTATATTCTCAGACTAACTGCTATTGCTTAATTTATGGAAAACTGTATGCTATTTTAAATGTTTTGTATATTAACATATATGCAGGTGGTTAAATTTGGACAAAGCACGAAAGCTTGGTTTTATCTATTCCCATTTCAGTAGACAGACCAAATATGTCAGTTCTCCTTCAGATGAATCATTAGTCAGAGTACAACAAACACTAAATGAGACATATACACAAAAATGAATTGCTTAAAACAGATTCATCCAGTGGATGTCATACATCATGTTTTTAATCCAATGCTGCAGAGAAATGGATTGATTTTGATCTGGTCCAGGCATGAATAGTCAAGCGCTAAAACTCGATTACAGGCTGAAAATAGTAGCAGCTTACTTTAATGGGATTGCAGGCTGCAGTGAGCACTAGAACTGGCCTACTGAAGGCATCCCTGAGACTCCAAACCCATCATTAAAAAGATATAGATTGTGTCTGGCCATATGTAAAAGCAGCGTGCAGACTGAATGAATGTGAAGAAAAACCAGGCAGGAAACTGTGGACCATCATCAGATATTTCTCTTTAAAATGTAGATTTTTCATAGCCTACTCTCAGTGGAAGCTGTGAAGCATGCATTTTCCAGACCAAGAAAAGGCTCAAGTTCATATAAACATCTCATATTTCATTATTTGTTTAATACACATTTAATAATTACAAAGAAGCTGCTTTTTCAATTGTAGAATACACATGTAGGTTCATTACTGGCACTCGCCATATTATTTCTAAATATTGTTTATTATTATGCATTTTATTGTTTAGAGGACTTTGATCTAAAACGCAGTGTAGACAGCAAATATTGAAACATTTCAAAGCCGGGTATTTTTACCGTATTTTACATTCACCCTTCTCTGTGTGACAGAAAGTAACTGGTTGAGAAAGAGGTGTGGTTGCGATTCTCTTGTCCAATCAAATGCCGCGTAGACTCGAACCTGGGCGGAGATTCTACTATACAAGGGCGGGGTTAAAGACGGAAGTTCAACCGGATTGGTCGGTCGACTGCAACGCTCACAAACCATGGTCATCTGCAGACTGTCCTTGCAACTTGGAAACGTAAGAAAACCTGTAATTCTCAGTGTATATTCTGAAAATCTTTAGCAAAAACATCCGAAACGAGTCGCGCGTAAATTGTTGTCCGACAATGATGCGTGATGGTTTTCAATCGCTGTCTTGATTATAACGCCGACTGCGATGCACGGTGTCATTAAGCAACCAGAACACGAACGCTGTTGTTTGCAGCGTGAGATCTGAAATAATCTAGCGTTGCATATGAAGCAAATGTATCAGAAATTCACCGAGTAGCGTTCGGCATCACAACCGTAGGATTTAATCGACGCGTCAATGTAAATTTGAGGATTTTTATGCTAAAATCGGACCGAAGGGCACACTACCCCTATCGCACATAGACTGAAACGCCATCAACATTTTCCTGTATTTAAATGGTAGAGAGAGAGGAGGTCATTGCTGAAATAAGGAAGAACGCCGGTAGGTCAGTTGCATTTTCTTGAAACATTTGCGATGACAATGCTTTGAAAATGCGTGCGTGAAAATCCTCCGCCGTGCTGAATTATTAGATGAGGTGGCCTGTGTCATGATGACTTGTCGTGATTGTTAAAAGACGACACCGTTTTGCTTAGAAGGCACATTGACGATGAAATCAACGGTGCACTGCCTACGGCGTTTCTCGTTGCACCATATTTTCCTTTTGATCTCATTACGATTGAGAGCAAAGTGCATAAATCCATGATAGAACCGTATTACGTGTGTGACCATGCATGATGGGTGTAAGTGTAAAAATGAATAGATAACGCCTACAAGAATGTATTATGGTATAATGGTTGGATGATTTGATTCATTAGCTGTTTAGTACTCTGAATATTTTCCATTTCTCTCTCTTTCTCACACACACAAGGGTATTAAAAGAAACTGAGGGAATTACACACAAGTGAAGATTTACTCGATTAGGCTACATAAATGGGGGATTACGGCTTTCTGGTTAAAAACAACACTGCAAACAAATCAGTTTTTCCGGTAAGAATTCATCCACACCTGCAGCATCCGGTTCACCACCAGACAGCACCTCCAAGCCCCCCGGCTTTCATCGGCAACAACAACACTACCAATGGTGGAAGTGTTGGGTCTGCTTGGCTTTTCCCAGCTGTGACGACCCATTCTAACATGCAAGATGATATTTTGGAGTCCGAGACGTCCAAGGCTCCGCAACAAGATAGTCAGGAAGGACAAGACAAGCAGGCGCTCGCTCCACCAGGTCACCAAGAAGCACCAGGAATCATATCGGAGTTGGACAACACCATGCCAGAGGAGAACAAGCTGGAGAAAGGGACCATGGAGAACGCTAATGGAAAAGAGGCGCTGCGGCTTGAATCTCCAGTGTTATCAGGGTTTGACTATCAGGAGACGTCTGGTATTGGTACTTTAGCACAGTCTAGTAGCTCTTCTTCGTCGTCCCTTACTGGCTTCAGCAGCTGGTCCACTGCTATACCACCCAACCCTTCCACCTTGATCGAAGAGGTTGGCTTTTTCAATCAGGCTGCTACTACTAACAATGCTACTCCTCCGCTGCTATTTCAAAGTTTCTCTCATCACACCAGTACAGGATTCGGGGGGAACTTCTCCCACCAGATAGGGCCTCTATCTCAGCACCATCCATCTCCTCATCCTCACTTCCAGCACCCTCATAATCAGCACCGCAGGTCCTCGGCCAGCCCCCATCAACCTCCCTTCTCCCACCGCAGTGCTGCTTTCAACCAGTTGCCCCATTTGGGGAACAACCTAAGCAAGCCTCCTTCCCCCTGGGGGAGCTATCAGAGCCCCTCGTCCACCCCATCTTCTACTTCATGGAGCCCAGGTGGAGGGTATGGAGGCTGGGGAAGCTCTCAGGGACGGGAGTATCGCCGAGGGCTGAATGGAGGGGTCAATCCCCTCAACTCGATCTCTCCTTTAAAGAAGTCTTTCCCAAATAACCAAACCCCAACACAGAAATATCCCCGCAACAACTCTGGCTTCAACACTAAACCCTGGATGGAGGATACCATAAACCGCAACGATAGCATCTTTCCTTTTCAGGTAACTCAAACTCCTAATTATTAGCTATTGATGATTTTAATAGAGGAGCATTTTGTTTAGAGGTAATAAGGTTGCAAAGTTGTGTGTGTGTTTATTGGAGATGAGATGAAAACAAATCTGTTTTTTCTTTCTTTCTCCATTTGCTCCCTTTGGCCTAACCTAATCTGATAGTGACAAAGTGCTCATGTGGCATGCTTGTTAGATAAATGTGATAGATCAAAGCTCAGATGAGTAATGCGGTGCTGTCGCTCCACTTCTGCAAGCTGTGAACGTCACCGATATAAAAAGACATGGATGAGTGATTCAAAATCAGGGGATGGCACAGGCAACAGGAGGAGAACTGGAAAGTCTGATACTCTTATATAACCACCAATTATCAGTTATTCCAGATATTAACATTCACTGATACTAGGGACTTTTCCAAATTTAGTCAAAGAGGCTATTCTTATTGCTTCTGAATCTATCATGGATTCGATAACAGTGGAAGACCAACAGATGATTTGATGAACAAAACCTTCCGATTAGAATTTGAGTACCTTTAGAACATAATTGCTTATCTAGCAATTATTTGTAGTACTGTATCTAATTATTTTGGTAACTGTCTGATTTACATATTACCAGCGAGTCTGAACTGCATTGTTATGCGCTTTAGTACACAGTGAGTTTATGTTCTTGTTTGAACAGTGGTAACTCACTGAAAACACTCACTGTTTCACATGCTGTGTGTCCTCCCTGTTCGGTTTGTAGCCTAATACCAAGAACAAACCTTGTATTGTGTTTGCAAGGCTTTTTCCTCTTGGTAAGCAGAGGCCTGTTGTGCTGCAACACTCAAGGGTAATGGATAAAGGCTACGAAGGCACTCTAAATCAGGTGACTACAGACTCCATGTAAATTTTTGGATTGCGAAGCATGGGTCCCTTTGCAAGAAAACGGACACAGAGAATAACCTCTTTTCTTTAGGTCTGTAGCCTTAGGGAGCCTTGTTGTATTCATTTATTGGTGTAGATATCAAGTGCCCAACTGTGTGAGCCTCTGTATGTTAATGTGTGCCCTAGTTGCAAGTTTGGATGGGTGGGGTGACCGATATCATCTGCATTTTTACTGTTGCTGATATTCAAATCAAAACAAAATTGTGCATGCAAACAGTTTCCAAAACTGTTGATATCACTTAAAGAGAACTTTGTCTGCATTGCTTGATAAAACACATTTAAGACAGAATGACGGGGTCTAATCACATCTCCCTTGTTGTTTTTGCAGGAGCGCAGTCGGTCCTTTGATGGTTTCAGCATGCACTCTCTAGAGAACTCTCTGATCGACATCATGAGAGCCGAGCAGGATTCCTTGAAAGGTACATTATTCACGGTCATCATTTGCAAATCCCACCTCACATCAGTATTAAGTAATATATTAAGTATCTTTTACAAGTAAAAATCACCAAATTTTAGTATTAAACATCATTTAGAAACTGTAGACAAGGCATTTTCAATTGTTCAATAAATTTTCTCTGCTAATTTATACTTTGAGTTTATGACTCCGTTTTGAAAGCAAATATTTAATATAGCATATTTAATTGTGTGGCTATGAATTTAAATGTATTATATTAAGAAAAAATGTATGGCTTTTTTTAACAAAATAACCTGAAATACCAAAATAATAGTATTGGTTTACTTTGCTTTGATGCTTCTTATGTTTGCTGCACTACAAATAATTCATGCATTGTCTTTGTTGTTGTTGTTTTATGCCCCTTTGATATTTCAGTTTAAAATCTCTGTTGAATTGGTTATTAAAATGTGGATTCCCTGACCAGTATGTTGTAATCTCAACATCATACATTAGTTTCAGTGTATCATTTGCCATCTTTGTTGCCTCAGTGCCTATGTTGCATCAGATCTGCAATATGCAATTTTTGTATTGTATTTGCTGCATTATAATGCTTGATTCTGTTGTGAAGAAAAGTCATCTGTCTTATCAAAAAAAAGTTGAAATTTCGACTCCCCGTCGCATAGGGACGCCAAAACGTTCCTAATGGGTGGGGCCAATTTTACTAAAATGGCTATAACTCTTGAACGGAGTGAGATATCTTCACCATACTCGGTACACATGTGTAAGAGCTCAATCTTTGGTCAAATAAAAAAAAAAAAACTTGGTGGTGCTATAAGATGGAAAAAAACATACAAATGGCTGTAACTTAGCAACCGTTGGTCCAATTGACTTGAAAATTGGTATGCAGTGTCTTTGTCCAAAGTGGCAGAAGTGTCTATGAGGACATTCACGTATCAAAAAACATGGTAGGGAATGTTTTGCCAAACAAGTTTAAGTGCCTGTTAGACCAGGTTAATGGAGGTTGATCGAAACGAAACTCAGTGGGCATGTTCGTCTCATGGCCCTAAAGGTCTGTAAGAATTTTGAAAGAAATCGGCCACTGGGGGGTGAAATTGCGTTTTTCAAGTGCATAAATGATTGTATGTTGCACGATTTTTCACACATACATTCAATGTTCATATCATTTGATAGATCTCCTCATCCTGAGCAACTTTGCCTCAAGAACCACTACTGTCAATCAAATTGTTAATTAATTATTCTCAATTATGCGAACTAGTCCTAGGTTTTTCGCTCAATCTCGATCAAACTACTGCAGCGCGATTCTCTGAACTCTCTAGATCAATAATTATTAAAAAAATTGAAATTGAATTTTGTCCTTTGATTAGATATAACAGGGTCTTTTAGAAAAGGGGCGTGGCCAAATATACCCAAAAGCCTATAAAACCTAAACGAAAACTCAAAACTGTATGAACCTTTGTGAAAGCATGTGTTAGATGACTCTTAAAAAGCATGAAAAGTTTCATAAAGATTGGACCATAGGTGGCGCTATAACAGTTAAAAAGGCCTCAAAAACATTTCAATTGTAAATGACATTAAATTGTAAAATAAAGGTCATATATTCACACATACACTAGATCTTCATATCATATGATAGATCTCCTCATAATGAGCAACTTTGCCTCAAGAACCATTGCTGTCAATCAAATCGTTCATTAAATCTCAATTGTTAAAAATCTACTTTTGCAAACTAGTCCTAGGTATTTCGCTCCATCTTGATCAAACCACTGCAGCACAATTCTCTGGACTCTCTTGGTCAATAATTATCAAAAAAATGTTGAATTTTGTCCTTTGGGTAGCTATAATGGGGTCAATTTTAAAGGGCGTGGCCAAATATACCCAAAAGCCTATAAAACCTAAATGAAAACTCAAAACTTTACGAAACTTGGTGAAACCATGTGACAGATGACTCTTAACAAGCATGCACCGTTTCATTGAGATCAGATCATAGGTGGCGCTATAACAGTTAAAAAGGCCTCAAAAACACTATTTCTATAGTAAATGACCTCAAATTGCAATAAAATGTTCATATATTCACATATACACTAGATCTTCATATCATGTTAGATCTCCTCATTTTGAACAGCTTTGCCTCTAGGATCAGTGCTGTCAATCAAACTGTTCTTTAAAGAGCAGGTCATATGGTTTTTTTAAAGTGTCCTAATATTGTGTTGGAGTCCCCTACAACAGGTTTAAATGCATCTAAGGTCAGAAAACACTGTAATTTTCACAGAATATACATTTATACATAGAGTCATTTGTCCATGATTTCGAAATGGTTCGTTCGATTCAGTTCTGAGCGAAATGTCTGTAAACCCCTCCCTTCCATAAGCCTACTCTGCTCTGATTGGTCAGCTGGCCAAGCCTGTTGTGATTGGCACAAAGAGGAGCGCTTGAGCAAGTTAGCGAGCGCTACCTTCTGTGTTGCCAAGTCCGCAGTTGTTTTTGATGTTGTTTGGGTTGTAGCGAGTAGCGACCCCAATAACGTCATATTTAGGCACTGGAATGCGAATTTACCAGGGGAACCCCGACTGAAAGCGTCTATTTTACACCCCAGAACGCGATTTTTAAAGGGGGACCACCCTCGAAAGACGATTGGGCTAGTTTTGAGTAGCAATTGGGCGGGTTTGAAAGAAATCGGCCACTGGGGGGTGAAATTGCGTTTTTCAAGTGCATAAATGATTGTATGTTGCACGATTTTTCACACATACATTCAATGTTCATATCATTTGATAGATCTCCTCATCCTGAGCAACTTTGCCTCAAGAACCACTACTGTCAATCAAATTGTTAATTAATTATTCTCAATTATGCGAACTAGTCCTAGGTTTTTCGCTCAATCTCGATCAAACTACTGCAGCGCGATTCTCTGAACTCTCTAGATCAATAATTATTAAAAAAATTGAAATTGAATTTTGTCCTTTGATTAGATATAACAGGGTCTTTTAGAAAAGGGGCGTGGCCAAATATACCCAAAAGCCTATAAAACCTAAACGAAAACTCAAAACTGTATGAACCTTTGTGAAAGCATGTGTTAGATGACTCTTAAAAAGCATGAAAAGTTTCATAAAGATTGGACCATAGGTGGCGCTATAACAGTTAAAAAGGCCTCAAAAACATTTCAATTGTAAATGACATTAAATTGTAAAATAAAGGTCATATATTCACACATACACTAGATCTTCATATCATATGATAGATCTCCTCATAATGAGCAACTTTGCCTCAAGAACCATTGCTGTCAATCAAATCGTTCATTAAATCTCAATTGTTAAAAATCTACTTTTGCAAACTAGTCCTAGGTATTTCGCTCCATCTTGATCAAACCACTGCAGCACAATTCTCTGGACTCTCTTGGTCAATAATTATCAAAAAAATGTTGAATTTTGTCCTTTGGGTAGCTATAATGGGGTCAATTTTAAAGGGCGTGGCCAAATATACCCAAAAGCCTATAAAACCTAAATGAAAACTCAAAACTTTACGAAACTTGGTGAAACCATGTGACAGATGACTCTTAACAAGCATGCACCGTTTCATTGAGATCAGATCATAGGTGGCGCTATAACAGTTAAAAAGGCCTCAAAAACACTATTTCTATAGTAAATGACCTCAAATTGCAATAAAATGTTCATATATTCACATATACACTAGATCTTCATATCATGTTAGATCTCCTCATTTTGAACAGCTTTGCCTCTAGGATCAGTGCTGTCAATCAAACTGTTCTTTAAAGAGCAGGTCATATGGTTTTTTTAAAGTGTCCTAATATTGTGTTGGAGTCCCCTACAACAGGTTTAAATGCATCTAAGGTCAGAAAACACTGTAATTTTCACAGAATATACATTTATACATGGAGTCATTTGTCCATGATTTCGAAATGGTTCGTTCGATTCAGTTCTGAGCGAAATGTCTGTAAACCCCTCCCTTCCATAAGCCTACTCTGCTCTGATTGGTCAGCTGGCCAAGCCTGTTGTGATTGGCACAAAGAGGAGCGCTTGAGCAAGTTAGCGAGCGCTACCTTCTGTGTTGCCAAGTCCGCAGTTGTTTTTGATGTTGTTTGGGTTGTAGCGAGTAGCGACCCCAATAACGTCATATTTAGGCACTGGAATGCGAATTTACCAGGGGAACCCCGACTGAAAGCGTCTATTTTACACCCCAGAACGCGATTTTTAAAGGGGGACCACCCTCGAAAGACGATTGGGCTAGTTTTGAGTAGCAATTGGGCGGGTTTTGTTGTGACAATCTGGCAACCCTAGCATGCACCTTTACATAAAACCATAATATAGTGCTCCAATCAGTTCTTAAAATAATGACACAAAAACATTTTGTTTAACACTTATGCAAGCGAATCGTGCCCACAGCTAAAGTTTAGCTGCTAAACTGTAAACACTTATACTCTCTGCATTAACCCTACAACTACATATACAGCACTTTCACAATGATTATAAAGTCTGTGCGCTACAATACATTATTATTAAACAAAGTAATTAGAACAACGACAGTCTACATTAATCGACACATTCTTAGGAAATAGTGGGTTCAAAAACTGTGCTCACTGCACAGAACAGACGCCGAGAGAGGCGACACTTCTCCGGCAGGTTGTGGTTCAGAGACGCTTGTTGGTCCAAATAAAGAAGATTAGAAGCTAAGAAGATAAAAGGCAAGATTAGAGAAGCAGTCCTCGGTAAAGTGATGAGCACAACAAAAGGTTCGAATTGTATTGCTGTGGTATCGTGGAACACAGCATCGTCTCGACACCGAGAGTGTTCTTATTTCGCAGGCAGGCGGGGATTATGCTAATGTGTTACCCAGTGACGTAGATCGGTAACAGGCAGAAGATTCGAAAATATAACGACTCGTTAAGGCGATTCTGAGTCGACTCTTTCTTTTGAGAGACAATATCTTTATTTATCATGCACTTTTTTTGATTAACAACTTTGCCGACTGTTTACATTGAAGGATAGCTACCTTACAAACTGCAAAAAATATATTTTTTGAAAAACCCATATGGCCTGCTCTTTTAAGTATTTGAGATTATTTAAAAAAAATAAAAAAAATAAACTACTATTGTGAACTAACTCAAAATCAATCAAATCAGTGCAGTACTGTTCTCTAGACTCTCTAGGCCAATAATTATCAAAAAATTTTGAACATTTGCATTTGGACAGCTATAACATGGTCATTTTATAATATGTTCTTTACATAGTGCATACCCAAAGGCCTATAAATCCTAAAAGAAAGCCCACAACTTCTCAATACTGTGTAAAATGATGCATAATTTCATTCTAAACAAGCATAAAAAATTTAAGAGAGATTGGGGAAAAAATAACACTATAATAGTCATAAAGGTTAAAAACAGTGTTGTGTGAGAAATTGCATGAAATTGCAATTATAACCACTAGATGGCCGCAGAAGACCACTAATGGGCTCATTCATCTCACTAAAACAGTACTGTTCTTAGGTTAGCTTATGGATTCATGCTTAGACATTATAAAATCACTGTTCTAACATTTAAAATCACATTTAGTCAAAGTTTACTATTTTGTTCATACGGACATATCAGTTTTTACAATTATGCCAGATTATGATTACAGTGAAACCTGAAAATGACAAACTCTTAAAAAGAGAAGACTTGCAATAAGTATTGTCACCTATCATTTATTTCAATTATCTATATCTGCAACAAAATGTGTGTGCATGCATGTCTGTGTATGTGTAAGCATGCTTTTTGAGTATTAATATAATAGTTTAACCATTTCATTTCTGTGTGTGTGTGTCTGTGAGCCTATTCTCTATTTTGGATGTGTTACTGTCAGCCATACATCCAGGTTGGCCTAGACCCTAAAAGCATACCACCTTAAAGGCCTTTAAGTGCTTGAAGCCCGGTAATCGCTGCTTGCAGCTATATTTAGTTAATTTGCATAGCACATTTAATGTTGGCTTTCCATTAAAATGACATTCCATCAGCCTAAATAACAAAAATCCCAAAAATTATAAAACACCCAATAAATATACAATTCAAATTCAATCTACCGTAATTCTTCTGTCATGGTCACCTCATTAATTGGTTATCTTGCTCTCTTTCTAAGGGTGGCAGACTGCCAACTAGCCTATGTCAAAGCATTTTAATTCAATCATAAAGTGATTATTCAGTGCGTTTGCCTCGTTATTTTTATCCAAAGCACATACTGAAGGCCATGTGACCCAAAAAAGCAACTTGGTGTCAGAGCAGATTCAAGTTCAGCTGAAGTGATACATATCACAAGAGACCGAAAATCATGGTTTCATTCAGGCTATTCAAAAAACTTATCTTAAAAGTCTAATAAAACTATACCAAATTTCCCCCAAACTCCAAAATATGCCAAAAATATGTAACTGAAGTTAATTCCATTCATCACAACAGATGTGACAAATGCATACTGTGCCCCATACTAATGTTTTCCTGCATTTGAGTAACACGTATACAACCCTGCTTTCTAAGTTTGGATTTGGAATCTGTTACAGCTTAGTGATTTATAGATGCCACAGGATGAGTGTTTCAGAAAGCACAGCCACGGAATAAGTTGAAAGAAGGGGCATGGAGATGCTCTCCCAATATATCACCTAAGCTCCCTTCAGGATTTGAAGGATAATCTAGGACAAACACTGGAGAGTTGGACATGCAGTTTCTGCACAGACCTGGTTTGGTTATTTTCACATACTATAGTTGCATAATGTACGCTACTTAAAAAAACAAAAACAACAAAAAAAAACATTAATAATGCTTAATAATATAGGATTTAATAAAGTATATGTTTGAAAAGCACAATTGTGGTAAACCAGATGATTTCATGGTTTGCTTGTTCTGCGTGAAGTGGGTTACGTTATGCTCTCCAATACTTGTGGCCTTGGATATGTGTTATTGTGCATTTAATACAAATATCATCCATTTTACCAGTAGCGTTTTAAACCGTTTGATAGCATCTGATAGAATTTTCTAACACCTTGCTTAAGTTTATTCTGTCTTATTTCACAAGCAGCGAGGAATTACGGGAGGCGACGAGGTAAAGATCTCAGAAGTGTCTGTCGGTTCATGTCATTTCAAGTTACAACATGCTTTTGTGTTAAATTGTGTTTGGTTGCCAGGCTAGGTTTTTGTACTCTGTTGTGTTTAGAAACTTTGCACTCTCATTGTATTCAAATGAAGAAGGATGTTAATTGCTACTCTACAAAATCTATAGCCGCTTTTCATTGCATATAAATGCTTGTTAGGTGACTTCACCATCAGTGCCACTAAATGGCCTTTGGGGCTGTTGTGTGACAGGTCACTCATCGTTGTTTCCCATGGAGGATGAGCGGACTTACGGAGAGGATGACAGGTCTGATCAGAGTCTGGGAGGACTGGGCTCACCACACAGTTTCCCTCACCAAAATGGCGAACGCATTGAGCGCTATTCTCGCAAGGTCTTTGTTGGTGGTCTACCTCCGGACATAGATGAAGGTACTAAAGCATAAACAAGTGTTTCTTTCCAGGCTTTTTAAAAATGTGCATCAACCACAATAAACACGTTGTATGTATTTTAAAAAAAAATTCAGACGAGATCACTGCCAGTTTCCGACGCTTTGGACATTTGTTTGTGGACTGGCCTCACAAAGCAGAAAGCAAATCATATTTTCCACCGAAAGGTGAGTTTGAAAGTCATTTGCACGGATATTTATTAAGAAATTAGTCATGCAGATATCAGCTTCTCTCATTTCAGCGGATGAATTTTGCATTCCTACGTAGGTGCGTATACGGCACGCCCATTGTTTAAAGCTGAGCTCCAGATGAATATCATCAGTGGGGCCTGAGCAGAGGCTACAGGTCAAGGTTATTGAAAGTGACTGCTGGTTGCTTCTTGCATGAATACCTTCAATGCACCCGTTGTCCTGCAGGTTATGCGTTCCTTCTGTTTCAAGACGAGAGCTCGGTCCAGGCACTGATAGACGCTTGTATGGAAGAGGATGGGAAGCTCTATCTCTGTGTCTCTAGTCCTACAATCAAAGAAAAGCCAGTAAGATATTAAAAGGCTGTATGTCTGCTGTTCCTGTGACTTTGCAAGTTGTGAGAAAGCAGTAGAGCATTTTAAAGTTAAATATAAACCTGAAAGTTGAAACACTGTTTCTACTAAATTCCACCTGTGTTTGCTGTATGGCACATGACAAGCTAGTGATTCTCTTATGTTCACTGTGTGTCTTCAGGTCCAGATACGACCCTGGAATTTGAACGACAGTGACTTTGTGATGGATGGCTCTCAGCCCCTTGACCCCAGAAAAACAATCTTTGTTGGGGGAGTTCCACGACCTCTACGAGCTGGTTTGTTTGACTTTCAGATATTACCATGATCAAACTTTTTTTTTAATTTTGTTGCCACAGTAAGCACGATGAGTGTTTTTGGACATTATTTACAGTGTGTAGTAACAATCATCCAGTACATTTTCTCTGAATAAATGCTTGTTGCGGTATGATTGTTGCATGATGCAATTAATGTTTTGAGTGTTTTTGGAAAAAAAAAAAAAAAAAGATTTTTTTTTTTTTTTAAATTGACGTGTTACCCTATGACAGTGGAGCTAGCAATGATTATGGACAGACTGTACGGCGGGGTGTGCTATGCTGGCATTGACACTGACCCTGAGCTGAAGTATCCTAAAGGGGCTGGACGAGTGGCCTTCTCCAATCAGCAGAGCTACATTGCTGCTATCAGCGCTCGCTTTGTGCAGCTGCAACACGGAGAGATCGATAAACGGGTGAGAGTGGTGGTTGGATCTTTGAGCTGTGTAGTATATGCAAACTGATATAGTCAAGTCTATTTTTTTTTTCTGTGCTTTGCTAGACAAAGTTCTTTAGCTTTCCATATATGCAATATTAGCACCACCTACTGCAGAGCCAGCAGTAATTATATATGGCCCTCTGACTGAATCTCTGCACTGCCTGATTGTTCTTGTAAACCATATAGTTTTTTTGCAATTTAAGCGTTGAAACTTTTTTTTTTTTTTTTTAAATAGCCAGTTCCGTTTTGAAGGAGTTTATGTCTGGACCCTAAACTTAGACTTTTAGACTATTTTCTATATTCACAATTTGTGTTTCACATGGTGTGTGTGGCATTTTTAGTCTTTTTAATACCTTTTTTTTAAAGGATTAGTTCACCCAAAAATTAAAATTCTGTCATTAATTACTCCCCCTCATGTCGTTCCAGACCCGGAAGACCTCCGTTCATCTTCAGAACACAAATTAAGATCTTTTTGATGATTTCTGAGAGCTTGCACGCGCTTTATCCTGAACGTAAACAACGCAGATTACGTTCTGGGGTACTCTCCAAAATGGCAGAAAACTGAGGGACGAGAATTGCTGAATAAATTGTTATTATTGTTTTCTTTGTGCACAAAATGTATTCTCATAGCTTTGTAAAATTACGGTTGAACCCCTGATGTCACATGGACTATTTTACCGATCTCCTTGCTACGTTTCTGTGCGTTGATCGTGGTAACTACATTGCTGTCTATGGGAGGGTCAGAGAGCTCTCAGAATTAATAATAAAATAACAAAAATATCTTAATTTGTGTTCCGAAGATGAATAAAGGTCTTCCGGGTTTGGAACAACATGAGGGTGAGTAATTAATGACAGAATTTTAATTTTCGGGTGAACTATCCCTTTAAGACCTGCACAAGTAAAATTAATCTCATATGAGTGATGGGCTATGTCTATGGTAACATTAAACCATAAAATGACTGTAAAAACATGTTCAGATACAGGTTTTTAAAAAACAAAGTTTTATAAAATGTTAACTTTTCTATTAAAAAACATTTCAACCTATAAAACATTTTTAAGAAACGGGATGAGTCGGAAGTATCAGTTATTATATTAATTTAAAACATAAATAAATAAATCTTACGTACTAATTGTTTAGATTTTCAAAAGGCTTATAGATTTTCAAAAGGCATATTAAGTTCTTATTGAACCACTGGTTCACATTTCCAACTGCATGTTTGCTTTTTTAAAAAATATTGGTTGATTTATTTTTAATTTTTTGCAATAGTCTGGAAAAAAAAAAGACACGAAAAGGCTTATTAAAAAATGCAAATTGATTCTCTGCCAGTAGGTGGTAGAAAAATAGCAGTTTACTGGTAACCGCTGTACACAAAGCAGCACTGCACTAATATACGTGACTTTATCAGGCAATATATGTAGGCAAGATGAAATGAAAATGCCCTGCATTTTGATTTTTAAACGTGCAGCGCTCATGTTTATTCAACAAAATGCTAGCCTAAGACTTTTTATGGCCTTTATATAAGTAAGACTTTAAGGTCCTGCTGGAACCCTGGTTTCATGTTAACTGATATTGAATGATTACTCTAGGGGGAAAAAAGCCCACCTAAAGTTTTCATATGGATAGTTTTTTTTTATATGGACAAGAAAGTAGAGCTCTGATCTACTGTATATTACAATAAAGTCAGATTCAATTGTTTAAATTGTTTCTGGCCCTTGTTCTTCATAGTCAGCCTGTCTTAACAACATGTGCTAAGCTAAAAGTGTCTACTTTTCCCAGGTGGAAGTGAAGCCATATGTACTGGATGACCAGCTGTGTGATGAGTGTCAGGGCACGCGTTGTGGGGGCAAGTTCGCTCCGTTCTTCTGTGCTAATGTCACTTGTCTTCAGTACTACTGTGAATACTGCTGGGCAGCCATTCACTCGCGTGCCGGACGGGAGTTTCACAAGCCTCTAGTGAAGGAGGGAGGAGACCGGCCTCGCCACATCTCCTCCCGCCTGATTGTTCTTGTAAACCATATAGTTTTTTTGCAATTTAAGCGTTGAAACTTTTTTTTTTTTTTTTTAAATAGCCAGTTCCGTTTTGAAGGAGTTTATGTCTGGACCCTAAACTTAGACTTTTAGACTATTTTCTATATTCACAATTTGTGTTTCACATGGTGTGTGTGGCATTTTTAGTCTTTTTAATACCTTTTTTTTAAAGGATTAGTTCACCCAAAAATTAAAATTCTGTCATTAATTACTCCCCCTCATGTCGTTCCAGACCCGGAAGACCTCCGTTCATCTTCAGAACACAAATTAAGATCTTTTTGATGATTTCTGAGAGCTTGCACGCGCTTTATCCTGAACGTAAACAACGCAGATTACGTTCTGGGGTACTCTCCAAAATGGCAGAAAACTGAGGGACGAGAATTGCTGAATAAATTGTTATTATTGTTTTCTTTGTGCACAAAATGTATTCTCATAGCTTTGTAAAATTACGGTTGAACCCCTGATGTCACATGGACTATTTTACCGATCTCCTTGCTACGTTTCTGTGCGTTGATCGTGGTAACTACATTGCTGTCTATGGGAGGGTCAGAGAGCTCTCAGAATTAATAATAAAATAACAAAAATATCTTAATTTGTGTTCCGAAGATGAATAAAGGTCTTCCGGGTTTGGAACAACATGAGGGTGAGTAATTAATGACAGAATTTTAATTTTCGGGTGAACTATCCCTTTAAGACCTGCACAAGTAAAATTAATCTCATATGAGTGATGGGCTATGTCTATGGTAACATTAAACCATAAAATGACTGTAAAAACATGTTCAGATACAGGTTTTTAAAAAACAAAGTTTTATAAAATGTTAACTTTTCTATTAAAAAACATTTCAACCTATAAAACATTTTTAAGAAACGGGATGAGTCGGAAGTATCAGTTATTATATTAATTTAAAACATAAATAAATAAATCTTACGTACTAATTGTTTAGATTTTCAAAAGGCTTATAGATTTTCAAAAGGCATATTAAGTTCTTATTGAACCACTGGTTCACATTTCCAACTGCATGTTTGCTTTTTTAAAAAATATTGGTTGATTTATTTTTAATTTTTTGCAATAGTCTGGAAAAAAAAAAGACACGAAAAGGCTTATTAAAAAATGCAAATTGATTCTCTGCCAGTAGGTGGTAGAAAAATAGCAGTTTACTGGTAACCGCTGTACACAAAGCAGCACTGCACTAATATACGTGACTTTATCAGGCAATATATGTAGGCAAGATGAAATGAAAATGCCCTGCATTTTGATTTTTAAACGTGCAGCGCTCATGTTTATTCAACAAAATGCTAGCCTAAGACTTTTTATGGCCTTTATATAAGTAAGACTTTAAGGTCCTGCTGGAACCCTGGTTTCATGTTAACTGATATTGAATGATTACTCTAGGGGGAAAAAAGCCCACCTAAAGTTTTCATATGGATAGTTTTTTTTTATATGGACAAGAAAGTAGAGCTCTGATCTACTGTATATTACAATAAAGTCAGATTCAATTGTTTAAATTGTTTCTGGCCCTTGTTCTTCATAGTCAGCCTGTCTTAACAACATGTGCTAAGCTAAAAGTGTCTACTTTTCCCAGGTGGAAGTGAAGCCATATGTACTGGATGACCAGCTGTGTGATGAGTGTCAGGGCACGCGTTGTGGGGGCAAGTTCGCTCCGTTCTTCTGTGCTAATGTCACTTGTCTTCAGTACTACTGTGAATACTGCTGGGCAGCCATTCACTCGCGTGCCGGACGGGAGTTTCACAAGCCTCTAGTGAAGGAGGGAGGCGACCGGCCTCGCCACATCTCCTTCCGCTGGAACTGATCGGGAGGTCAAGGCTGTGCTATTCATTCATATACATGCACTTTTCATTTTGCTAAGTCCTTTTTATTTAGAGTTCTTTTTTAAGTCTGAAATTGTATTTATTCTTAAGTTTTAAATTTTTTTTTTTTTGCAGAAGAGAATGCTAAAAGAAAATGGTGTAATCCTGATTTTTGTTGAAAAGCTACATTGGTGCGCATGAAGACTTGAATGCATTAGATTTAAAAAAAAATATAGATGTTTAGCCTGACTTGACTCTGAATTACTGTTCTATCTTTATTCTCTCGGAGCCTCATCTTTTGTTTGTAATGGGTCACATTTTCACTTTAAACTGTTGGAGGCTACACACAAAGAGGCTGGAAACGTAAGGGTTCGAACCTCGTTCATATGACTTTAATGTTGAGGTTTGACTAATCTTAAATGGCTGCATGGCAAATGTGGATTCACAGTTACTCCTTCAACAAAATGCACAGTAACGACTAACAAGAGACCACAAGCTATTGTATGAGTGACTTAAAATTACATTTTAATGGGTTCATTCTGGAATGGATTATATGGACTGGTTCTAACATTTAAGGCAAATCTTTGTGATTAAGTGGAAAAAAGATTTATAATATTAAAATCCTTTAGAGGTTCTCATTCTAACAATGCTCAGACACTGTAAGATTACTATTAAACTGCTTCCAAGTTACCTATAACTTAATCAAGCGTAAGATCTGAGGCAAGGCTAACGGACAGCAACTGAGAACAGCAGTGATGCAGGATCCAGTTTTTAGGTCAGGCAAACCAAAGATGAGCCTTAGAGATGTCCTACTGTCTGTGATACAATGAAGATTATATATATATATATATATATATATATATATATATATAATAGAAAGCTTAAATTTAATTGGTTTGATGGGTTAAAAAAATAATGAAATCTATTAACTTAATTATTTATGATTCTTGTAATGGTTATGGCAGTAACTTTGGCTCATTTGTCAGGGATTTTGTGCTAAAAGCTAACTCAATGTTGTAGTATTTGCTAATGAGAAATTACCGTGTGTTGCATTGATAGTGTTTTACTGCATGGCTTTTGCCATGGGTTCATTAGTGTTCTAACGGAGCATTGCAGTAGCTGAGCACATTTCAAAGAATTTGAAAAAATATTATTTTTTACATGGTCTGCTGATTTTTGTACTGTGTTTTATAGCCAATTATTTTGTCATGGATGTAAAACCATTATGCACTACTTTTCTAAATATTGTTTTTCAAGTCACTTTTTTCCACAAATGGAAAGTCCTTTTGTGATAACTTTTCTTTTTTTCACTTGTTGAATATCGATTTTGTACCTTTTGTTACTGAGAGATCTGGTTATAACGCAAGCATACCTTAAGGAAAAGAAAAAAAAGCTAATATAATTTTGTTTAGGTTTTTATGTATTTACGTGCTGAAATCCCTAGATTGTCACATATATATATATATTTAGGTGACTGTATTGTTGAAACTAATATCTAATATTTGCAAAATGCAAACTGTGTGCTGTCTTAATGGACAAAGTAAATATTGAATCTAGCATGACACAAATTCCTTAAAATGTGTGGTACATGTAGAAATGTATACCTATTCAGTACCTACCCACTATCAGTTACGAGAATGATGATACCTCCCTCATTATTGGCTGTAGAAAGTAAAATAATTAACACTGTAAATTAGAGTAATGTTAGGATGCACCTTGTATCACAATGATGAATGTTCCATATTGAAATATCAATGTTTACTGTTATGTATAATTCTGAGAGGTAACAAGATTCATTTATTCATTAGGTACGCATGAGCTAAATGAATAAGTTAGGGTTTAGTTATTTTCAATTGCTTTAATAGTACTTTTATTTGAACCCTTTCCCCACACTTGCAGTTATATGTTCCTTGCCCATGCACAAACTGTGCATACCCCACTTTACTGTGTTTACTAGATGACAAAAAGAAGCATACGAGAGGGTGATTAGTCCCATATTGATTCAGGGTTTACTTGAATATGCTTTCAAAATATTGACAGTGAGATCTGTGCAATACTTTTTCCCAGAGACCTTTACGGTGTACTTCTAATATAACCATTACTTTCAACGTGTATCGCCTCACAAACTCTCCTTCAGCCATTATAACCTTTAACATTCTCTGATTTATATATATATAAAAAAATACCACTGAAATTATAGGTGTTTTCACTTTTATGTATTCACATATTTTCCTACTTGAGTTCATGCTACTGTGATTACAAACAATGTAAATATTACGTGAATAATGTTCTAACAATTTACTGATATATTTTTAATTGGAATGTGATAATTGTCATTTCGATTATAGTTTTTGATCAGTACACTTATTAGATTTTCTAGTTTTAATAATCGCTATATTGTGCTTCATGTCTACAGAAGGATATCTATAAAAAAATATCAGAAAATTCTCTATGTGACTGCTTATTTAAATTTACATAGTTTATAACTGTGTATGGGAAGGTGTATTTGTCAATAGATTTTTATAAGGAATACTTTTTTTGCTATGTCATTTCTAAGTTTTAATTTTTATATTTTAAATCCATATGGAGTTATGTAAAGAGAAATATCATTTTATAGTTGGGTTAGTCATACATGTGCTTTGGTAGTTGAGTCTTGATTAGCCTATTTGCAGTTAAATATTTATAACAGAATGCTTAAAGTATTTGTAATGTGAAATGTTGAATGAATAAACTTGATTGCAGGAAATGCCGTGGGTTTCGTCTTTAACCGTGTATATGAATCAAAGTTATCAATACAATCTTTGAAAGGAAATGTGTTTAATTTCAGTAAACCTATATAAATTAAAAACGCAAGGCATCATCTTTTGGTGGAGCACAATAGGAATTGCAGTAAGCTTCTGGCATGCTGTCTGAGAATGGGGTCAAATCTATTTTTAGCTCGTCTGATAAACAGCACATGCTGCCTAAAATACAGTGTTGTGATGACAAGGAAGACATCCGGGTGAGACCTTGATTATTCTGGAATTACCAAGATTAATTACTGTTGATTGATTGATTACTGTAAGGTTGAGCTGCTAAGAGGGAAGGTCTCAGAATATATGCACAGAAATGCATCTTAACCCATATATGCAATTGCATTTCTTGAAGCCCATCATGCTGCAATGTTTATTATCTGTGAATCATCTACATGCGCTGAATCATCTGAGGGGCACACAACAGCACCCTCTGGCGGTAATGGTGTGTATATCTTAAAAAAAAAATGTAGTATAATAAAAATGAAACTTCATTCATTCATATCTCAGAGAAAAATCTGACATTTGAAGGAATTTCAGTGTGCAAATGAGTATGAATATATATGTTTGTTTATTTTTGTTAGAAATGCATTACTTTTCACTGAGCCCCACTGTATGTGAAGAAACTTACAATGTAACTGCTGGGACAGCTCATCTGCAGCATGCTGAAGTATCTCAAGGGCAACAGTGATGAGTGTAAAGGAAATCTGAAATGAAAAGAGCATTTTGTCATCATTTATTCATCCGCATGTCTTCAAACCTCTTCCATAGGTGCCACTTCTAAAAGCTAGAGAATACGAGTTTGAATGAATAATGACTTTGATCATGCTCTCCATAAATCTTTGGTGCACAGAACACAAAAGAAGCAGAATGACAACTTCCGGAAACAATTCACTTACATTGAAAAATAAAGTATATACATATTTTTTAAGAGTTTTGTGTTCCAAAAATTACGGGTTTGAAACACGAAACATGAGAATGAAAAAAAAAATAATAATGAATTGCATCATTTATTTATTTGTTTATTTATTCATTCATTAATTCGTGAACTATTCCAAAAAAATATATTTTTTTTAAGAGTTTTGTGTTCCAAAAATTACGGGTTTGAAACACGAAACATGAGAATGAAAAAAAAAAAATAATGAATTGCATCATTTATTTATTTATTAATTAATTAATTGGTGAACTGTTCCTTTAAGAGCCTGCCTTTGCACATGGCTCCTCCTCCTTCTGTGTGTGCCTCCATTTTAAACCTGAGGTAACCGTTACTGAGCTCATCCTCTTCCGGTGATAATAGTGACATTTACAAAGTTTAACTTTGGTTAAGTTTCACAATACTGAAACAAAACTTTTTTTTAATAACCTAAGCGAGCTCTTAAAGTGTGGTGCTACTGTTAATTATGGCATCTTTCCGTAAATTACTCTACGTACCGCGCTTCGACACTCAGTCGCCTCAAACTGACAAGCAATCGGGATATAACGGAGAAAACAACAAACACCGTCAACTGAACGGGTTAACTCAGGCGACTCCCTTACTTTTCCTCGACGTTACAAGTCCCGAAATAACACCATGTTTGTCAAAAAAAGTGAAAACAAACCATCTTTTGAGGTTGTACGCCAATATGAGATCAACGGTTAATCTGAGGGCATCTAAAGGCGGGAAATCACGGCGCGCCAAACGCGTCACTTACGGAAGTGTAGGAGAACAGCCACACAGTAAGTGATATATATATATGTATATATATATATATATATATATATATATATGTGTGTGTGTGTGTGTGTGTGTGTGTGTGTGT